AGGGGTTAGAGCGGGGCCCCAAAGGGAACATTTACAAATATTTTAAAATTCTTATCCTTTGATGACATGACAAGTATTGTATTTCACTTAGTTTACATGCTGATTTCCACATCACATCTAAACAATAAAATAAAGCTACCAGTACCTATGATATAACTCAGGTGATCACTAAGGCCCTTGGGCCTCTTGTTGACGATAGGTAATTAAAAATATTGAATTTCAAACCAACTTGTTTCTTTCTTATTATAAAATATATGCATTTTGGCATTTTGGAGAGATTTACACTTTTCTGAAATCAAATGTGTGATTGAGATTAATTAAAGATTGTTATACAGGTAAATGACAGAAAGTTTGTGACAAATTTCAACCCTTAAATTGTCTTAACCTTTTTTTTCCATGGAGATATTTTCGTGATCCAAACACCAAAATACTCAATTAGGTAAATCTCTTTTCAATAAACATAATAAATGGTCTTTCCTTTAAAATAAAAATCATGTAGCATACCTAAAATAATAGTTGTTGATGTATTTATGTTTTAAATCTTGATATATCTCTTTAAATGAAAAGGAGACAACTTGATTATGTACAATAATTTTTTATCACTGCAGTATTGAATCCTGTCTCTGCATTAAATGAAGTCACCCAGAGGTTAAGATGGGAGGTACCAGAATACCATTACGAGTGTCTGTCATCAGAGGACCCACCGAAGTTTGTTTGTACGGTAAATAAAAAAATGACTATGATAAGTTTTAACAGGAATTGTTTAAATGGATTTCAACAGTTCACCAGAGTCACGCAGTAGACCTACCTATTGTGATCACCTTTATAGTTCACCAGAGTCACACAGTAGACCGACCTATTGTGATCCCCTTTATAGGTCACCAGAGTCACACAGTAGACCCACCTATTGTGATCACCTTTAATCCAGCATCATGCATTGTCTAAGGTGAATCATGCGGAAAAAATACTTTTCGATTTCTCAAAAATTCTGTTGAGTTTTGATGAAACATGGTGGAAATCACCCAGCATCAGAATATCCACAAGAGTCTGCAACTGGTTGTAAGGGAAAAATTGCAACAGCTTCATACTGAAATCAGTGTGAAAGGAATTGTTTAACCCATTCACCCCTCAAGTCACATTTGAACCTTACCAAATCAAAGACTTAGCAAGTGTCACACAGTAGACAGACCTATTGTGATCACCTTTATAGGTCACCAGAGTCTCACAGTAGACAGACCTATTGTGATCACCTTTATAGGTCACCAGAGTCACACAGTAGAGCGACCTATTGTGATCACCTTTATAGGTCACCAGAGTAACGCAGTAGACCGACCTATTGTGATGACCTTTATAGGTCACCAGAGTCACACAGTAGACAGACCTATTGTGATCACCTTTATAGGTCACCAGAGTAATGCAGTAGACCGACCCATTGTGATCACCTTTATAGGTCACCACAGTCACACAGTAGAGCGACCTATTGTGATCACCTTTATAGGTCACCAGAGTAACGCAGTAGACCGACCTATTGTGATCACCGTTATAGGTCACCAGAGTCACACAGTAGACCCACCTATTGTGATCACCGTTAATCCAGCATCATGCATTGTCTAAGGTGAATCATGCGGAAAAAATACTTTTCGATTTCTCAAAAATTCTGTTGAGTTTTGATGAAACATGGTGGAAATCACCCAGCATCAGAATATCCACAAGAGTCTGCAACTGTTATAGGTCACCACAGTCACACAGTAGACCGACCTATTGTGATCACCTGTATAGGTCACCAGAGTCACGCAGTAGACCGACCTATTGTGATCACCTTTATAGTTCACCAGAGTCACACAGTAGACCTACCTATTGTGATCACCTTTATAGGTCACCACAGTCACGAAGTAGACCGACCTATTGTGATCACCTTTATAGGTCACCGGAGTCACACAGTAGACCGACCTATTGTGATCACCTGTATAGGTCACCAGAGTCACGCAGTAGACCGACCTATTGTGATCTCCTTTATAGGTCACCACAGTCACGCAGTAGACCTACCTATTGTGATCACCTTTATAGGTCACCAAAGTCATGCAGTTGACTGATCTATTGGGATCACCTTTATAGGTCACCACAGTCACGCAGTAGACCGACCTATTGTGATCACCTATATAGGTCACAAGAGTCACGCAGTAGACAGACCCATTGTGATCACCTTTATAGGTCACCAGAGTCACGCAGTAGACTGACCTATTGTGATCACCTTTATAGTTCACCACAGTCACGCAGTAGACCGACCTATTGTGATCACCTATATAGGTCACCAGAGTCACACAGTAGACTGACCTATTGTGATCACCTTTATAGTTCACCACAGTCACGCAGTAGACCGACCTATTGTGATCACCTTTATAGTTCACCGGAGTCACACAGTAGACCTACCTATTGTGATCACCTTTATAGGTCACCAGAGTAATGCAGTAGACCGACCCATTGTGATCACCTTTATAGGTCACCACAGTCACACAGTACACCGACCTATTGTGATCACCTTTATAGGTCACCGGAGTCACACAGTAGACCGACCTATTGTGATCACCCAGAGGTTAAGATGGGAGGAACCAGAATACCATTACGAGTGTCTGTCATCAGAGGACCCACCGAAGTTTGTTTGTACGGTAAATAAAAAAATGACTGTGATAAGTTTTAACAGGAATTGTTTAAATGGATTTCAACAGTTCACCAGAGTCACGCAGTAGACCTACCTATTGTGATCACCTTTATAGGTCACCACAGTCACGAAGTAGACCGACCTATTGTGATCACCTTTATAGGTTACCAGAGTCACACAGTAGACCGACCTATTGTGATCATCTTTATAGGTCACCAGAGTCACACAGTAGACTGACCCATTGTGATCACCTTTATAGGTCACCAGAGTCACGCAGTAGACTGACCTATTGTGATCACCTTTATAGTTCACCACAGTCACGCAGTAGACCGACCTATTGTGATCACCTATATAGGTCACAAGAGTCACGCAGTAGACAGACCCATTGTGATCACCTTTATAGGTCACCAGAGTCACACATTAGACCTACCTATTGTGATCACCTTTATAGGTCACCAGAGTAACGCAGTAGACCGACCTATTGTGATGACCTTTATAGGTCACCAGAGTCACACAGTAGACCCACCTATTGTGATCACCTTTAATCCAGCATCATGCATTGTCTAAGGTGAATCATGCGGAAAAAATACTTTTCGATTTCTCAAAAATTCTGTTGAGTTTTGATGAAACTTGGTGGAAATCACCCAGCATCAGAATATCCACAAGAGTCTGCAACTGTTTGTAAGGTAAAAATTGCAACAGCTTCATACTGAAATCAGTGTGAAAGGAATTGTTTAACCCATTCACCCCTCAAGTCACATTTGAACCTTACCAAATCAAAGACTTAGCAAGTCCATTTTAAAAATGTAGGGGTGAATGAGTTAAATGGATATTGTACTTAGATATAGTGATTATTTTGATTCTGAATAATACCCGAAAAGAAAAGGTTTATTGTTATTAAAAGATGGCTAATTATAGGGTATAAGGATCTGTTGATACAGTTGTTGCCCAAACAGACAGACAGACACTGCCCTGTACCATCCTCAATATCTAGAGGTTACGCTCACTTTTGCTCTCTGCACCCCTAGAACAAGTAGGTTTTGGTGAATGGTATGTAAATGATGTGGATCCCATTTTGTAGGTTTTGGTAAATGATGTGTAAATGATGTGGATCACATTTTGTAGGTTTTGGTAAATGATGAATGGTATCAGTCCACAAGCTGCTCCAATAAAAAAGAGGCCAAAGCAGACTCTGCCGAAGCGTTCTTTGTACATCATCGTAGATCAGAAAGTGAAACCTACATGGATGTACTGAAACACATTACAAGCAACACAGAGACAGAGAACCAGACGGATCCAAGTAAGTATTTATTTAGCTCAACTGATCCAAAGGGTCAAGAGAACTTACAGCATGGTGTACATGTACTTCTGTTTATTAACTTTCCCAGGAGGGGAGCTAATGGGCAAGGTCCAGTAGCTGTAGGGTAAACAGAGGTAAATCTTTGAAAGAATATTCATTCAGTGCAGGTTTTTAACAGAATTGATCTGAAGCATCACTTGACCAAGGAAACTTTACATTGTTGAAAGAAACATGTACCTCATCCCCCTGTGGATAGAGGGCCAGGGCCCAATAGAGGTAATCTGATTTAAGATTTGACCTGGAGTGGTATTTTGGTCCAGATGACTTTATTTGGTGTAAAAACAAAGTTTTGAGGGGAGGGGCATCAGAGGAGAAAGAGGATTGATCACTCTTTATATACAAGTGAAGAGCTTTTAACCAAAATGAGACATAGGGGGAGCAGGAACCCAATATTGTGTGTTTCAAGTATCCCTACCCTAGATTTTCCTGCTGACTCTAGAACATTTTAACACCTACCTGCATTCAGGATTAATTACTTAGCCATGAAAACTTGCTGTCACTCATAAAATGTAGTTTCTTCCTGTCAAAAGCCATAATCTTTGATATTTCATTTGTTTACAGCTTTTAAAACATGAGTTCCAGGGAAAAAGCAAAAAGGTCAGAGAGAAAGACTATGGCAGGCGCAGCAGAATTCTGGGTGTCGAAGGCTAAGACAACATTTTGGCTTCATTCTCACATAAAAGTATTCTTATAAAAATTATCTCAGAAAAATATTGAAAATTTAAAATGTACATATGTGGTTAAAGTGATCAAGAATAAAATTTGTAATTGATTCATTGATTTGTTCATTTCATTTGTATTACCGTGAAAATGTGAAATAAAAATAATTTGTTAGCTCAACTGGCTGTGGTGCGTTGTTCATCATCTCTCTCTTGGTGTTAACTTTTTTCTTAAAAAAGTCATCTTCTCAATAAACAAAAGGTCTACTAAAAGTCTTAGGGTGGTTATATTTGGCAAGTTGCATTCTGGGATGAAGGGCTATAAAGTTTGTTCAACTTAATGTCCTTATTTGATTTTCAAGGTCAGGGGTCAAGTGTATTTTAATCTTTTAACAGTTTCTTTTGAATAACTTTGAGTCAAGACACTGATATTTTGCTAGTAGTTTAATTTTAGTCCGCTTTTAAGGTTACAAGTGTGAGATTTACACTAGGTAAGTGGTGCAGGCCCATTGGGCCTCTTGCTTTTAGCTCACTGGGTCTGAAGGACCAAGGTGAGCTTATGCCAAACCGAGGCGTCTGTCGTCCGTCATCAACAATTTCTTCAAACGACTTCTTCTTAACCATTGATTGGAATTTAACCAAATTTGACTGAAAGCATCTTTAGGTGGTGGGGATTCAAAAATGTACAAACGGTGGGGCTAAGGGGCGGGGCCAAAAGGGGGTAATTTGGCTTTATTGCTATAAACGATCTCTTCTGTAAGACTATGCACTGGATATCAATCATATTTGGTCGGAAGCATTCATGGGAGGCAGGGATTCAATATTGTACAAATGGTGGGGTTGACCCCCCAGGGAACTGAGGAGTGGGGCCAAAAAGTTTTTGGGCTTTATTCGTTTAAGTGACCTCTTCTTTGGAACTTAGAGATGGATATCAACCATTTTTGACTGGAAGTATCCCTAGGTAGTGGGGATTCAAAATTGTACAAATGGTGGGGCTGACCCTCAAGGGGGCTGAGGGGCGTGGCCAAAAAGGGTAATTTTGCTATTTGGCTTTAAGTGACCTTCTCTGGAACTCGGCGATGGATATCATCTATATTTTATTGGAAGCATCCCTTCGTGATGGGGATTAACAATTGTACAAATGGACAGGCTGACCCCCTGTGTCATATCTTTAAAATGGTTGAGATCCCCACCCCAAAACTATATTTACAAATGCTGGGCATAAAGAGCCAAATGCAGTCATGATATTAGAATTGGCCCTGGGGTCTGGCCAAACCCCCAGGGACTATAGTTTCTGAGTCACAGCTTGGAAACAGTTGAGATCCCCACCCTAAAAAGAGAGGAATGCACATATGCTTCCAGGATGGCCCTGGGATCTGCCCCACACTTGGAGACTTAACCCTGGGTCATTACTTCGAAACAGTTAAGATCCCCACCCCAAAACTATATATACAATTGCTTGGCATAAAGAGACGAATGCAGTCATGATATTAGAATTGACCCTGGTATCTTGCCAAAACTTAAGGGACCTAGTTTCTGAGTCACAGCTTCAAAACAGTTGAGATCCCCATCCCATAATTAACTTTACATAAAATTGCTGGGCGTGAAAGTTATAATATAGATATGCTGCGAGGATTGGCCTTGGGGTCTAGCCCTATCCCTTGAATCTTATTTGGAGAATATTTTGCCATGATTGCTTAGATATCCAGGTGAGCAATTCAGGCCCTCTGGGCCTTTTGTATTTAATTGTGATTATGTTATACTTAAACAGAGCAGATTGTGATTATGAAACCATAACTGGGATATTTTTTATAGTGCTGTCAGAATTCGTCAAAAGTATGGCAATCACAAACACGATATGTAAAATTAAAGTGGTCTTTTTTTTCTACAAGTGTACAATAAGTTACATCTCTCATCTTTTGCCATAATTTTAGTTATGAATGTAATGTTTTTGAAAACTAGAACTGCAAGTCAAAGGCTAACTTATACCTCCCGCTCCCATTTAAACGAGAACTGTTAGGCAAAGGCTAGTTTATACCTCCCGCTCCCATTTAATCCAGAACTGTAAGCCTAATGCTTACTTATACCTCCCGCTCCCATTTAAACCAGAACTGTAAGCCTAAGGCTTACTTATACCTCCCAATCCCATTTAAACCAGAACTGTAAGCCTAAGGCTTACTTATACCTCCCAACCCCATTTAAACCAGAACTGTAAGCCTAAGTCTTACTTATCCCTCCCGCTCCTATTTAAACCAGAACTGTAAGCCAAAGGCTAGCTTATACCTCCCGCTCCCATTTAAACCAGAACTGTAAGCCAAAGGCTAGCTTATACCTCCCAATCCCATTTAAACCAGAACTGTAAGCCAAAGGCTAACTTATACCTCCCGTTCCCATTTAAACCAGAACTGTAAGCTAAATGCTAACTAATACCCCCACTCCCTTTTAAACCAGATCTGTAAGCTAAAGGCTAACTAAGGCATAGTGTTGCAAAGCAAGCCATAGTCTCCCACCAGTTATGATTTATTTATTTACTGAGCTGTTCACTTATTTTAGTACATGTATATAGGTCACAGTGACATACTTCCTGTACTCCCTCTTCTTGCCAAAATATACATGCATACAAAATCTTATTAGCCCAGGTGAAAAGCATAACATATGCCCAAAAAAGACTTTTTCAGATCTGAGGTCAACGGTAAAACGACAGGTCACAGTGACCTACTTTTTGTATTTGACATTCCACCATGTCACACACAGATACCCAGATTTTATTCTAACTATAGGAATTTACATTTTCTTCTGCTGTAATATCTGTAACATATAAAAAAAAATCCATATCCTGAAATTAGAAACACATGGAAAAAGGCATGATTCCCCCCAAAAAGGGCTCCTAAATGGACACGAAACAAATGAAGTAATAAATAGGAAGTACACAACTACATGATGACAGAGGGTAGCTATCATATCTGTTAAGTTTTGATGAAAGTGGCCTAGTAGTTTAGGAAGAGTTTTCCGGGCAAGGATTTTTCAACAAAGGGCCATAACTCCGTAAATAATGGGTCAGAATGAATAAATACTAGCTAGATGCAGAACGTCAGGGGGTAATTACCATATCTGTAAACTATCATTGAAATCGGACCAGTGGTTTAGGAGGCGGACAAGGGGCTTTTTCAACAAAGTATCATATAAATTCCTTTAAAAAGGGTCGGAATGAAAAATACTACATGGATGCACAACGTTAGTGGGTAGTCGTCATATCTGGAAACATTCGTTAAAATTTGCCCCGTAGTTTTGGAGGAGTTGGCCGGAAAAGGATTTTTCAACAAAGGGACATAACTCCGTGAAAAAGGACCAGAAAAAATATCTGGATGCAAAATTTCAGACGGTATTACCATATCTGAAAACTTCCGTTGGAATCAGTCCATTACTTCAGAAGGAGTTGTCCGGACAAACATTTTTTACGGACAGACAGACAAGCTGATTCCGGTATACCTCCGCCTACTTCGTTGCGGGGCTATAAGCAACATTTTTGTATGGAATTTTCGTTGATCTAACAACGCTTAGAACAACTGGGATCAGTAAAAGATTCTAGAATACAAAAACAGAACTGTTGTTTGTAAGGTCGCTACATGTATTCAATGTAGAAATATGATGGGATTTGCATAAGAGCCCTTATTCATTTCTATCCAATTATGGGAAAAGTTTTGGTTGAAACTTTTAATCTAAAAGATTCTTAAAACTTTGGTTCATGTGTACAGTTTAGCAAGAAAATGGCAAAGTTTGATTCATTCGAATGCAAAGCAAGAAATTAGCCAGCGTCGCCGGGAATTTGAAAGGACAGTACGCACAATTGTGTTCCTAATAGAACACCCTTTTAATGTCGTTTGGAGACGATCTGGCCAAGACAATAAAAGATAGGAAAGAAAAAAAGTTGTTTTAACTTCTTACAGTGTCGATCAGTATGCAAACAAAAGGTTTTAGTAACCACGGAATTAGATTATTACTATCTAAGTCCTTGGTTTAACACAGGGAGATATAAATCTCACAATTAGAATCGCCATTTTAAAATGATACACATTACAGTCATTGTAATCAAAAGAGAAAACTGTTTTATGGCATCCTTAGATTAGAAGGATGTAAAGTATTCATGGCTTATATCCAGAACATAGAATAATTTATACGTTTCCAATTCGAAGGACCGTTGTATGAATTCACAGATTTTTTCAAATGGTCTAGCATAAGCCCCTCGTAGTTATCAGAGTTGCGGAAAGGGGGCCCATCATATTGTACAATGTACTGACGATCCTTACGGTAATAGAGGGTCATATAGGGCACAAGACCGTGGGTTTGTTAAATATCCAAATAAGTCAATCTTCAAATCACCTCACCATCCAATACTAGCATATATTTGGTTCATTTGAAATTCAACTGACATGGCTGTACCCCTTCGTCAAGGATGAAAAGGGAAGATCGCGTCTTTTTGTAGCGAGGTTTTCATACCAACGTCGACACCGTCTGATGATGGCATTGCCTTACACGTTACAAGGAACTTGGCATCTTATGAGGATGTTAGGGGGGCAACTGCACGCATCATATAGCGAGGAAATGACGTCACACATTTATTTTGACGGTGTTATGTATATTGGGCCTATTGTCGAAACATTAATAATGAAGAAACCGGTTAACAATAGAAAACAACAAATTATACCTGGTTTTCACAAATATCTCCACGCTGACCAAACCCTCTCAGAATATCAAACCATATGTAATGACCATGACGTGAAACACTCCCTGATTTCAACAAAGCCTGTGACGAGGATGAACAAGTAGACGTCGCCACTTTTGGACTTCTCCGAAACTTTTTACACCGACATTGACAAGCTGCAACACGAGTTTAACAATTCCTGAGTTCGAGGACCTATCCATTTCATGTCGTCCTTGAACGAGAATACCCCCAAAGAAGCCACATTAGACTCTGGTTTGCTGCAAGGTACAGTCTTCGGTCCCTGATTGTTTCTCTGTCACATTAACGACCATATGGACTCGGTAAAACCCTATTACACCCTTTAAAGATGACTTCTTACAGTATAGATGTGCATTATATTTTTTCCAGGACCACGTACATTTGTACGTGACCCTCGAAAAAAACAATGTAAAATTGGGCAGCGGTCTTGGTCATGATAAATGAACGTAACACGAACACATAAATAATATACATGCAGGGAGCAAAAAATAAAATTTCACAAATTTAACTCCAAAAATGCTACATACTGAAGCATCAAGAACTGGAACCAAACAGCTTGTACCCTAAATGGTAGACTGGTTATTACCAGCCCCTAAGGTTTTTTATGAGGAATTTACCAGCTGCATTTTCCTACAAGCTTATCTCCCCCTAGTTTGATTCAGACATCCAAGTGATCAAAATTATTAGAGTATTTTTCAAAAAAAATTAATATTCTAAAGACAAGAGGTCAGTCTACCTAACTGGACACATCGTCCGCCTAGTGCAGCACACAAGCGAACTTCGGCCTGCAAAATTTCAGAGGATCTAAAGCGGAAAACATGGATTACTTTATTACGGAGCCCTCATACTAAACCGGAAATTGATAAATTTGAGAGCAAACAGGGACTACTCGGGTTGTAATGGTGGATGTACGTGTATGACAAAAAAGGTTTCATGAACTTGATTTACCGACACTCCAGTATCACACATTCGTGTACCAAATGGTTAAAGGGTTGGTAATGCAATAACCCCGTCCGATTTTCAAAAAGAATCGAGACCAAAACAGCAAAAAAATAATATCAAGTATAGAGTGCGACCGCCATACAACACACATACTTATTAATTAATTCTTCCATCCTCAATACTCCCAGGATTAATGCTCAATTTCGCTCTCTGCACCCTTGAATTATATCACAGCATCGTAGGCTCAGTGTGCGTCACCTCGTGGATGAGGCAAGAAGACTAGTTTGATCAATATGTCGGTCGCGTAACGGTAAAACTGACTGGCTTTGAAGTTGGATGTCGCTCCTCTGTAATCATCAAAGAACAGATATCAGCCTAGCAATTGGTCAGGATTTTGTAAACCCGAGACTAATCAAAAAGCTAGCCACGTGCCTTCAATTTTCCAGGGTTGCAGAGAGCAAAAGTGAGCGTCACCCTTGGAGTATCGAGGATGTCGTTCTTCGTAAGAACAGTTACTGACTGGAAGGTAAAGTTGTGTGTTTACCTTCACTCGAGATATTCAATGAATCTCTTCACAATAAGTTAATGATTCTCTCGTTTTATCATTGCTGATATATTTTCGTGAGACGGGAATGAATTCTTTATGCGGCTAGCTATTTTAAACTAGAACGGTGGTCGGATGGCGCAGTTGGTAGTGCACTTGCCGGGGTTCGATTCCCCGATCTGACCTGAAAAGGTATGGTGTCACCTGCCCGACCACGTGGGTTTGCTCCAGATACTCCGCTTTCCTCCATCATTCAGACCCCCGCCCACTAACATCCGGGCGATATTTATTCATTAGACTATCCTCTACCCCAGGGGTTACGCTCACTTTCGCTCTCTGCATCCCTGGAATATGTCATGACAGAATCGGAGGCTTAGAGTGCGCCACCTTATGGATTAGACAAGACTAGGCCTAGTTTGATCCTTTGATCAGATGTATACCAAAAGAATATCAAAATTGATAGTAAATATATTATAGTAAAATTGACTGGCTTTGAAGTCGGGTGTTGCCGCCCATGTAATCTTCAAATTACATTATCAAACTAGCTATTGGTCATTTTTTACATATTCATATTATTTTGCTATGACAATAGTGAGCGTATACATTACCTTTATAGAGTGTCAATGATATCATAAAAATCTATCGCTGTACTATGTATTACATATAATTACAGTGTAATTATCAGATGATGAGGTAACCTCGTCAGCCTGTTCATGTTAATGTTTGTGTGGCATAATAGCGCTACTAAAAATACACCGGGTCAGTACTTTAAAATTAAGTTACTCCCTTCTCCGCCGATCAGACAAAATCCGTACTTTATATCCGTCTTTTACCCCCACTCAAAAAATGAAACATCTATGTGAGTACGATTCTCGGGGAAACTTCCGGTAACTCGTTCGACCATCGTTCCTGTGCGTTTGTTATTAGCCTGTGTGAAATGTAAGTCGGCGATCCATTAGTTCATATGATATGTTCATTCTATCTTGTTGTTGAACTACTCAAACGCCTTAAGGACACGTGAAGTAACACGGGTAATTATATAAATCAGTAAACCACATGTGCTTGGACATACAAATCCATATCTTTTGAGACCTGTTTGTTTATTAGGATCTACCGGTTTGTCCATTTTTAAAATGTATTATTTCAGAGGTAAAACCCGACGCACCTGCAAATGTTAATGTATGCATTGAAAGACTTTGCCAAGGCTCATCGAAAAACAACATCAAATCACCTGGCCCATCCCTATTTCACAAACTGTTATAAACGAACAACTCTGGTCCAAAACCGGTCCACCTGACAAACGAAAGCGGACCTGCAGCTCTTGATTATGACCTTTTAGTTGTTAAGAAGTGTTCCTGTTCTCAAAGTTTAATGGTTACTCAAACATTGACCGCAGGCCTATTTTTGTCTGGGGTTTTTTTGTCAATAATATTTCCAAATGAAGCCCAAAAAATGTATGCTCTTAATGTTTAAAAACTCTTAATTAGGTCCAGTACACTCTGCTGATTGAACTATATAGCTATAAAGACCTATATAGCTAAATTCACATATTTCAATTTTCATTAAATTACAGCAAAGTCGCACAAAACAATAAGGTTTATGGTAATGTTGACTACAAAAAGCATACATCTTGATGTTTATTTTCATTTTTCATAAATGTATAATTTCCGATTTTTTTTACATCCTTATTTTTAAAAAATAATACTTATATTTCATGTCTTTTGTTATCAACCTAATGATAAAATCTTCTTTTAAAAGCGACTTTGTTTCGCTTTACTTAAAACAGAAAATCACATAAAAATAGCTCAAAAGACCTATTTCAGATAGGTCGATAGAGCTATTATAGGTCATTACAGCTATATATAGCTCAATCGGCAGAGTGTACTGGACGTGTTAATGTGTTTTATTTCACTTTGTTCACCGTTTCAGTAATGAAATTGTTACTGTGAGCATTAACCTGTTAATCATTTGAAGAATTCATCCTCCAGTGGTGGCAGAGTAATAAAGGTGTCCGACATTCTGCTGCCACTAGCCCTCCACCACTGATTCACCACCATACGTTGGGCAGTCGCCAAGTACTGGCAGAAGGTCAGTGGGTTTTTTCCTCGGGTTCTCCAGTTTTCCTCTGCCACAAAAACCTGGTATGTCCTTAAATGACCATAGCTGTTCATACCAAACAATCCAAACCAAACCCAGGATTCATACTTATAAAAGAAGTTGTATCAAACCTATTTATTGAACTTATAACCAGATATCCTTTTTATATAATTGATCATCATCATATAAAACTTGTTTTACAATATATTGACACTAGTCTCATGCAAAAAAAATATGTTGCAGCCATTTGGTTTTTTTTGAAATGTTCGTTGTTTATTCAGTGAAATTTCCTAAAATCAATTTTATCACTAAAGAAACAAAAAAATGCATAGTTATTCAGTCGCTCCATCAGTTTGTTGTGTTACAGTGGTAGTGTATCCTCAATATCCAGGGGTTACATAAACCCTTGATATCGAGGATGGTGGTTGTGCGGCTCCATATATTTGACAGGACTTGATCATCTAATTTATTCAGTTGCTCCATCAGTCCATTGTATTACTGTGGTTGTGCATCCTCCATATATATGACAGGACTTTATCATCTATAGCCTTTATTTACCATGATATTTACTGAATACATGTCAGTATGGTTCAAGATTTTCCAGATTCTATCAATATACTGCCTTTTATATTATGTCTCACCTGACTGCACAGAAGAAAAAAATACAATACAGTTTAAACACCTATATATTAGATGGTACTAACGGCAATACTTACCAGCAGTATGTTACCAGTAAATTGAAGGCAACATGATTTATGTATTCCTTCTTTGCGTATTGCAGAGTTATCTTCTCTTGTGAGCAGGTATTGATTGTTACATCATTGGTTTGTGAGAGTAATGTTATCAATTTTTGAGAAAACAACGCAATTTTCTCACACAAACCAATGACGTAACAATCAATACCTGCTCCCAAGAGAAGATAACTCTGCAATACGCAAAGACGGAATAACCTTGAACACAACTAATAAACATTTATTGACATGTTTGAAGAGTATTAATCTTGTCCGAAAATAAATCCATGTGATAATAAATTATGCACCCCATGAAAGTTGGTAATTGGAGAGTGGTGAGTAGTTGTTGGAACAAATGAGTAGGAAGATGATGTGCTGAAATCCAGATGTTGCGTCATTGTTGTGACATTTTGGTGGTTAAATTTTGGCACATTTACTCCAAGCAATAGAAAAATCAAAATAAAACTGCATCCAAATTAAAATATCCCATAGTATGGTACTTCAAAAAGTATATCTGAATCCAACCGATAATTGCATCTTAAACTTATTTCTCATCAATACCCTCTATAATTTATTCACCCCTGAAATTTTATAATGAACTGTTCCAACCTTTGAATTGGAAGAGTTCAAATGCATCTTCAGGGGTGAATGAGTTAAAGTTTTATCAAAAAATAAAATGTGTCCACACCCTTTTCTTATACAAGATGCTAACTGATTATGCAATTGTTCTGTTTTAGCTTTATAAAGAACAAGGATGATTTGAGTGTTTGACAAGTTTAAACACAAGATACTGATCCACCATGTCGTCACCAGAGGTGGAAAGGTTTGAGGTCACCGAGGATGACCTCGCCAACGAGTTCAACCAAAGACCTGGACGCAGAATTTCCAAAAACAGAGCCATATATGGTAAATACATTTTTGCAGAGAATGACTGCACCTTACACAAGCGTAAGAAGGGCAATGTCTTTTTTTGAAATATGGTAATACAACACAAAGTTTTCTGTTGTCAGTGATTTTTTCAGACGATTGTGCTTTTTTTGCTCAGTTTTGCAGCCGAATACAGTCTGTTTCTCCCAGCAAGAAAGTACTTGTTTTCCCAAAATGTCAAAAAAATGAGGAATGTTTTACCAATTTAGAAAAAAAAAAATGGTATATTTTCACAATTCATAAAGGAACAGGCTGTTGTAAAATTCAGGAAAAAAAAACTCTGGTTGGTTGTTGTACTGTTTACCAGGTTATTCAGTTATCAAATAATATCAATTCAGCAGTTACATGTATATGTGCTCATACTTGCACTGAGTGCAAAATAATTCTGTGATACAATGTATTAGCAAATTTGATTATTTTATTAAAACAATTGTCTGTTGAATTTGAATTTCATTGGAGCTATTTTTGAAAAATTTAGAAGTACAAAATGTACTTTGAAAATTGATCACAACTATCTATTCAACATATTGTAAGGTGAATAATACTTAAAATAAGATGGATCCCAATATGTGGCATTTATTTCAGGAATGTGGGCAGAGGACAGTGATGAAGATGAAAGACCCACTATGGGATTCGGTCGAGGGCCTCGAGGAAAGAAAGACTATGGGGTACCCGTCAGCTTTGTTAGTGGTGGAGTGAAGCAAGGTAGTAAGACTCCAAAGGAAAAGAAAGTAAAAGAGGAGGATGAGGAGGAAGACGGTGATGAGGTAACTTTTCCTTTGTTGTGTCACAAACTTTACTACATTTGCATATAAATATAAAAACTATTCACAGCTTCAGAAAGGATAATTAGGTTAGGAAAATTACCTTAAAAAATAAGGTAAAAAAGGGTAATAAGAGTAGATTGATAGAGAAAGTATAAACTTTGTGAAATATTTCATTTACAATTTCGAAATTCAAGAAATCAAATTCAGTCTGATGGACAATAGGCTAAATATGCCAGTGTTTGAAAATGCAATTATCAAAAGGCACAGGTAAAATAGGTACATTGTATCATGTTGCCTCATTCAGACTGACCAATACGGACTCATCCAGACTAATTCGTGGCTGGTCATAAAAGATGTCGGTTTATGTCGGGCAAACTCTGAATTTTGTCATGTGTACATGTGATTGTAAATAAAAGTGGAAAATACTAGATTTTTGAAAAATAAAAAATAAAAAGTTCTTGGTAGATGCCCTAATATCTGACCATGACCTCTTTTCCTATATATTTTCAGAATTCAGATTCCGACAATGGTGGGCCATCTGTACCCATCGTCCAGGCTCCTTTAAGGTCCCAGGTTCCTATAGTACAGCCCCCTTTAAGGTCATCGAGTGCACCATTAAAGGGCAAAGCAGGACCCCCTGGAGGCTCGCGAAAGTTTGCTGCAGGCCTTACCAATCAGGATAAGTAAGTGGATAGAGAATTATAATGCCTTTCAACTTTTAGACTTGTTAACTTTAACAAGATTACACTTGTTAACTTTAACAAGATTGCACTTGTTAACTTTATAACAAGATTACACTTGTTAACTTTAACAAGATTGCACTTGTTAACTTTATAACAAGATTACACTTGTTAACTTTAACAAGATTACACTTGTTAACTTAATAACAAGATTACCCTTGTTAACTTAATAACAAGATTACACTTGTTAACTTTAACAAGATTACACTTGTTAAATTTAACAAGATTGCACTTGTTAACTTTATAACAAGATTACACTTGTTAACTTTAACAAGATTACACTTGTTAACTTAATAACAAGATTACCCTTGTTAACTTAATAACAAGATTACACTTGTTAACTTTAACAAGATTACACTTGTTAACTTTCACATGATTACACTTGTTAACTTTAACATGATTACACTGGGTACAGTACTGATTCCTTCTCTGCCTTTCAGTATCATAGATAGGAGATTTAACAGGACAGTAGAGCCAACGTCAATCCAAAAGTCTGTGGGTTGTTCAGTGGGGTGCCTCACTCGAGCATGGATACCCACGGTATCCAAGAAGATGAGGGGATCGATGAATAATTAAATATAAAAAGGGAAGAATCAATCACAACATGCTCAAGTGTCACAGGTATACGTTGGTACTTAATTTATTTGGCTTACTAGTTTTTCGCCTCTGTGTACGAGGCTTTATCAGGACCTTTTAATACCTTTTACCACAGAAGATGCACAGGATTAAAAAACCTCGCACATAGAGGCTAAACAAGTCAGCCAAATAGATTAACTCAGTCACCCTATAAACACATTTGAACTCTTCCAATTCAAAGGTTGGAATAGTTAATTATGAAATTTCAGGGGTGAATGAGTTAAGTACCAACTTAATAGTGCTACTGTGAGCACGTTGTGATTGATTCTTCCCTTTTGATAGCTAGGAGAGGATATTTCAATGTGGCGTATCTATGCATCCAGATTCATTTCTACACAATAACTTGAGTTTCCTTTATAAGGTCAATAAAATTCACATTTCACACAAACACTTCTATGCCCAAAGCACATGCATAGGATTACTTTTCAGTTCAATAGGTCAAAAGTCAAGACTACTGTTACTTAAAATAGAAAATCATTTTCTGCACAATTATTTCAGTTTCATATGGTCAATCATACTAAAACTGCATACAGCTAGGTAGGGCTTTTTTTTCAAGTTTGACAACTACTTTATTCGACTACATTTGGCGGAGTTATGGCCCTTGATTAACGAAAAGCATAATTATCTGCAGTTTCCGTTTAATAACTCCAGCAAATATTAGCCAAATTTCTTCAAAATTGATTCAGTGTTTGTGTTCCTCCGTCTTTCCACCCATCTCGGGCACTCTTTGGATTTCGTGTGATAATTGCTGTAGATATTGTGCAGATATTTCAACCAAATTCTGTATGCACATCCGACTCATGCTAAGTTTATCAACCGATGTCTCAACAGCACGATACTCACATGTTTAAACCTAACCTCAATAATGTTTACCTACAATATGTCCTGCAAGCAGGGGATATAAATTCCACAAATTTGTTTAAATATCATACAGGGCTCTTTGACTAAATTAAACTTAGATTTTATGAGGATTTCTTGGCTCAAATACAGTTAAATTTTATGCATGGCTTCCCTGTCCGATTTAAGCTCAATACAATGTTTGCTCGGCTCAATAAAACTCAAAACTTTTGTACTGATTTCCTTTGCTCAAGTGAACTCAAATGTTATACTGAATTTTCATGCCAAAAGGACTTGATTTGTTTTTCTTAGTTTGTTAACCGGGTATTCTGAATATTCATGGAATTGTAAAACTGTTTGTAAATCAAATCACTAACAATTTAAAAAGACTTTTTTCAATGTCATGCTTCCCTTATCCCCCAAAGGTAAAAGAATAGTCAGAAAATCAAAACACTGAAGTTTTTTGTAAAAAATGATAGTCAAAAACTGTTTTGTTGTTTCCTTATATTTTTTATTTTTTTATTTCTTACAGAGCATTTGGTGGTTGGGAAAAACACACTAAAGGTATTGGTCAAAAACTTCTCCAAAAGGTAACTATTAGTCAAACATGGCCGTTATTTAGTACTTTTGTAGGTGTAACAGAAATGGTGCTGGAGTAGTCTGATTGGTCAGTTGAGTAACATACACATCTGACAAACTGGTATGTGGTGGGCATATTCCTACTGTAACAGGAGAGGGAAAATGCACACCCAGACAGAGGTTCGAACCCAGGACCTTCCAAACTCAAGACGAAGGCTCTACCGATTGAACTATCTGGTCGCTGACTATCGACCCAGTCAAGTTCCGCTACGTACATTCCTCCCTCTTTTCTTTAAGTCTCCGCCCCAAAGACACAAATATTTACAACCAAAGTTTGGGTATCCCCTTACCAAGCATACACCAAATGCTCGAAACAAGGGTTGATTGCAGGCACCACTGTAACAGGAGAGGTAAAATGCACGGCCAGACCGGGGTTCGAACCCCAGACCTTCCGAACTCAAGACGGACGCTCTACCAATTGAGCTATCTGGTCGCTGACTATCGACCCTGTCCAGGTCTGCTACACAACTAATGTCTTAATACAATAATCTACCTTTTGTTTCATTCCCTCATTCAATGCGAAAACAAAACCCCAAACAACAGAACATTTGACAGAAATGTTATTACATCTGAGCCTTACTATCTAGCCATTTTCATTTTCAATCTGAAGTACAAGCTGAAATGGCTGGATCGCAGGCATAATCTTGAATCGAAGTTCTGGCATGCGCAGAGCATTGGTACAGCCAGGTCAGCGATGACGAGAGTTGTTGGACTTGTCTGTACATATGTACTTTGTCAACTTAGGCAAACTTCATTATTATAACAAGAAATATCTTTAAAAAGATAAACAACAGAGTGTTTGTGTATGTTGTTACAAGTCTGGAATAGCTGTGTACCAATCATGGTATTGGTTCTAATAAATTTCACCGTGAAGGTAATACATTTGAGCTGGATAATGATATAACAAAGCTTACATAAAACGTTGACTTGGGGAAAAAAACGATGGTCAATTGCTACATTGGCTACCAAGACACTTCAAAAGGAATTCGAAGTAACCCAAGTTTATTTTGATAGCAATGCAAGTGTGTATGCATGATTACTTCCCATCTCGTATAATGAGTGAAGTGCCATGAAACAATTGTTATTCCTTTGTCAGCTAGTAATGAAATATGTCTTACGAGAGAAATGTTACATTTCGTAGGCTGATTTGATGTAAAATAATTACCCAAAGTAGAGAGACTACCATCTGTCATTCTTTCTCTCTCTCTCTCTCTCTCTCTCTCTCTCTCTCTCTTGGTACTGAACCATGATTTAACACCTTGTTTCTCCGGTACACACATGTATATAAAATAAAATATATCAAAAATATAGGCGAGATACAATAATGTATGAATTTTTTATTTTTACACAAACTTTGTGATGGTAATTCATTGACTTGTAATGCATTGTAGTACATGTGTTTGTGTCTAAGATAAACCAGTGTACGTGTGACCTACAACCTTTGTTCTTGTAGATGGGATACAAACCGGGCGAGGGTCTCGGCAAAACTAGTCAAGGTATCACTACGCCTGTTGAGGCAGTCAAGCGGAAAGGTCGAGCAGCTGTTGGAGCCTACGGAACAGAGAGGTCAGAAAGGTCACTGCAGGACTACCCTGTGTATGACTCGGAAGAGGAAGAGGATAATAAGTTTCAATCACAGCTTCAGCAATGGAAGAAAAAACCAGAGGTAAATCCACAGGGTGAAGTACCCTTGGTAATACACTTTTCTCAATTTAATACTTTATTTTCATAGCTTAAAAGTACTTTTTTATAACCTTGCTTAAAATGTCTTTACCTGTTGTTACTTTCAAGCCTACCCTTGGAGATCATCTGTCAACCAAGACCACCTGGCTATAAATTAATAAGAATTAAACTCTTAAGATGGTTGCCTTATCATAATGATCACTACTGCTTTTATCCCTGTCGAGTACTGTATACCAGAAATACCGTAATGAGGGCGAATTTATCATTACAGCAAATGTGATTAAACAGCATAATATAAATAGTAATTAAATGTGAAGGACAAAATTAATGCTGGGCGAAAATTGATTTCATGGACAAAGGGCAAAAGTTTGGCTGGGCAAAATTTCCTGGTATACAGTACTTTAGTGATATGTGCAATTGTGCTACCAAGATAAAATGTCCTTCATCAGCTGTTTAAGAGGATCGGAAGATATGACATAAAACTGTAGCAAATAAATGATAAAGGTGAACATTTTGACAGATTTCAGATGAAAGGGATTTTTAATGGGAAGATACTGTAGACATACCTATGTTTTGATATAACATTTACTAGTAATTATGAATGATCTAATTGAAATTTCTGTATATTGTCTTCTTTTACATAATTCTTTGATATATGTTTGATATATATATGATTTATATCGGAATATGATTTACAGGGCAGTAAGAAGAAACCTAAGTATGTCTACAAAACTGCTCAGGAACTCATCGACATGGGAGTGACAAAGAAACGTCCACAGCTGTCAACATCAGCCAAGGTCAAGGTCATCGACATGACTGGCAAAGAACAAAGAGTTCTGTCAGGTAAAAAAAAAAGAGTAAAATTCATAGGTAATCAGAAAATATTCAACAAGGTTGATTTCTTAAAGCTGATACGATATTGGGGGAAATGCGAAAAATAAAAAATATTGGATAATTATTATATACCCAGTTATGAGCAATTTGCATGCTGGGCTATTAAGCACAAAAATTTGGCACATAATATCTAGATAGATATATATAATCCAGTTTCCTTTTTATAGGTTACCATGCTATAGCCCATCGCCATGACAGACCTGAACTGGAGGAAGAGCCTGTACCTAGTCGGACCAATCAGAGGCGAGCATTTGACCTGCCAGAACTGACCCATAACCTGACTCTCCTCGTTGACATGGCCGAAGAGGATATTGTACAAAATGACCGCAAGTATGTAACGGTCAATCATCTATGTATGTTTCATGAAAAGTTGACCAAGATTTGGAATTGTCTCCAGCTGTCGCCCTATTCACATCCTTCTGTTATTTCAAATTTTCACCCTCGTTATATGTTAAACTTTCACCTAGAATTTACTTTCACAATGTAATTATTATTATATGCCGTCGAAATTCGAAGGATGTATTATGGTTTAGTGTTTGCAACCGTCCGGTTAAGGTTTGGGTGCAAGTTTCTTCAGTGGTGTACAATTTAGTCAGATCATGTGTTATTGTCCTAATTATTTGCATGGATGTTCATGTGGGGTCAAAGAATGACAATATGGATTTAATTTGGGAAAATAATTGCTTTCTTTATTTGTAAATTTTTGCCATGTTTGGAACTTGACTTTTCTTGCGCAATTTCTCGATTAAAGTTTAGGTGCAAGTTTCTTCAGTGTTCTACAGTTCACTCAGATCATGTGTTATTGTCCTAATTTCTTGCATGGATGTTCATGTGGGGTCCAAGAAGGACAATATGGATTTAATTTGGAAAAATAATTTCTATTTTTGGAAATTTTGGACTATTTGGGACTGAACTTTTCTTGCGTAATTTCTCGTATTAAGGGCCATATGCATTTAGAGACCATCTTTTTGACTTCCAGAGTGGTCTTTTAATAACTGTTGCCTATTATCCTTAGGTCTACATTGAAATAAGTTTTACTGACATTGGCCCAACTTTGAATTCAATGAGACTGTAATAAGAATGACTAGAGTTGGTAAAAAGACTCAATTGTTACCATAGACATACACATAACCCTTTCAACACTGTAGATCATAATGGACTCATCCATATCAATGCATGGTAGAGTCTACAAAAGTTACATAGGGGTAAAAGGGTTAATTCTGTGTACTAACTCTTCCTTACTTGTGGTATTTGCAGGGAAATTAACTTGTGTTACACTCAACATGTATTGTATACTTTGAAACTTTCGCTCAGTCAAATATTTGCCTAGTGTATGTTTTGCCCTTCACATGATATTACCATATGATATATGGTATGCTATATACAGAAAATTTGCTGTGATTGTGAAGGCGAAAACAATAAAAGTTGAACTGTGACAAAAGTTTTCCCGTATACCACATGTGTCATTTTACCTTGGTATGCAAAAACAATTGTTTGAGGATACTTGATTTGAGCAAAAATAAACTGCATGTATTACCTGAAGTAATCCGGAGTACCTAATCATGATGGTCCAGAGCTGTATCTTGTGTGATTTTTACATACAGTCAAACTTCGATATTTCAAATTTGAAACATTGAGAAATGATTCACAATTTTTGATTTTCAAACATCATTGAAATTTACATGAGACGGAATGTGATTGTTGAATGACAGAACACAAGGCAAACAATTTAATTTGAAATCTATAGATATTGGATTATATGTATGGAAAAATATGTTGGATGTATTTGTGCACTGTAATTTGAATGTTCATGAGTTTACTTTCCATTGTTCTCATGCAGGTAATTGTTTTACTTTGATTTATTAGTTGTAATGTTCAATGTTTTCCCAACAATCAGGCCTTGATTGTATTTCAAAACTGGGAGAAATACGACTTCAAGTTCAATTCATAATGTAAGTTCTACACATTGAGATATTCGAATCTTCGAAGTTCGATGTTTGACTGTACATGTAAATGAATTGTAGTTACTCAGTATGTATTATTTCACAAAACTTGAACTTATTTCTTAAAAAGAACCATTTTGTTTGTCTAGGTTGCGGTACCTGAAGGATCATATCGTGAACATGAGATATGAGAAAGAACGACTGGATGAGATTTGTAGCCAGGAGGAAAGACAGAGAGAGAGACTGAGAAAAGTGCTGGACATTGTTGACACGTAAGTCACTATGTACTTAATTATCACTGCCGTCATGCAAATCTAAATTTCGGAAAACAGATTTAAACATTATTCACATTATTCAAATTTTTGGTTTGATTGATCTAATATCAATTTTTCAGATTCTATCTAGCATGTCAGATCTTCAGATTATTGTCGTCCAAAGAAATATGAAAATAAACTAAATCATTGTTGTTTAATTAGATGCACTATCATAATTTTGTTGTCATATTGGATACAAGTATTGTTTAAATTCAATTAATGTAAATCACAATACCGTTTTATCCCCTGGTCTTTGGTTTGGTTAACCCTTCAGTTATTTCAAAACTAAGTAACTATATCTGATGATATCCCAGTAGTGGGCCGAGACTCCCCATTTGATGTTGTCTAGTCATCTTTTCTTTTGAATTTCTATTACATGTTCTCTTATTACTCTAATGGCCCGAATAGTGAATTCCATTTAGATATCTATCACATGGGGTACGCCGACCATCTGCTAGGGGACGTTGGATATCATTTCTCCTTGTATATATCTATTATAGGTTTTTGCAAGTGTTGAGTTTCCTCTTGTTCAAGGGTGAAAGTCATGAGAATACATTAAAATGATCAACAGGGCAAACAGTTCCCATTTTACAGTAAACTAAAGTTAAAACGTTTTACATGTCATATTGTAAAAACAAAACATATCTCGGTCTGGAATTTTCTAGAGAGTGGTAACAAAATGTGGTTTCTGGTTTTATAACGTAGGTGTCAGCAGAGGACCCAGCCAGGCTGTGATAACCCAATGTCGTTGTCCGAGTGTGCAGCCATCTTTAAATCCCTTCAAGAGGATTATTACGAGGAGTACAAAATGTACGACTTGTCGTCTCTGGCCATAGCACTTGTCTTCCCTATGGTAAGTATGCTGACTTTATCAATATTTTATGATTTCCAATTTGATGACCCAATAGATTTTGTGTGATTAGAGCGGGTAGGGGGATAGTAGTGGCTTTGTCAGTTTATCTGTGTTTGCGTCTGTCCATGCATCTGTAGTAAAAAGATTTTGTCTCACATTCTACACCTAATTAGGTAAAGTTGAAGGGTAAGAGGTCACATTTGACCGCTTTTGGGAAGGAAATATTTACAGGTTAATTTAAGAACCCCTCTACAGATTTAGTTAATATTAACGTCATGGTATGGTACCATCAAGTTCTAAAATTAATTATCAATTTTGATTCCGTAAATGATTGATATCTTGCTTTGTTCTAGTGCACGATTGGAAATTAAAGTTTTTTTTTTTTTCAAATCCAATCTGCCAGAAATTGTGATTGGTACAAGCATAACACTCCTTCAATGCTAGCCTATAGATGATATCACATTTAAATTTTGTTTGAACAATCATTTGGATTTCTTTTTTACATAGATGAAGACGCATTTTACTGACTGGGATCCCTTGGTGAACCCCGCTCATGGCTTAGAGACAGTGAGGGAGTGGAAGGCTTTACTAGAGGACTATACTAACAAACTGGTGGCGGGGCCCCTTACAGGGGGACAGGACATGGACGTGTATCAGAGACTTCTGTGGGATGTGTGGCTGCCATTTGTCAGAAAAACAGTGTTGTAAGTACTAAAGCAAAGTGTTGACTCATAAAGGTGTGACATTGACAGGTGTGACAAAGACAGGTGTGACAAAGACAGGCACAGTGTAGACAGGTGTGACAAAGACAGGTGTGATAAAGACAGGTGTGACAAAGACAGGTGTGACAAAGTCAGGCACAGTGTAGACAGGCGTGACAAAGACAGGCATGACAAAGACAAATGTGACCAAGACAGGCGTGATGTAGACAGGTGTGACAAAGACAGGCATGACAAAAACAAATGTGACAAAGACAGGTGTGACAAAGACAGGCATGACAAAGACAAATGTGACCAAGACAGGTGTGATGTAGACAGGTGTGACAAAGACAGGCATGACAAAAACAAATGTGACAAAGAAAGGTGTGACAAAGACAGGTGTTACAAAGACAAATGTGACAAGACAGGTGTGCAAAGACAGGTGTGACAAAGACAGGTGTAATGAAGAGAGTGTGATGTAGACAGGTGTGACAAAGACAGATGTGACAAAGACATGTGCGATGTAGACATGTGTGATGTAGACAGGTGTGACAAAAACAGGTGTGACAAAGACAGGCGTGGTGTAGACAGGTGTGACAAAGACAGGCATGGTGTAGACAGGTGTGACAAAGACAGGCGAGACAAAGACAAATGTGCAAAGACAGGTGTGACAAAGACAGGCTTGGTGTAGACAGGTGTGACAGAGACAGATGTGGCAAAGACAGGTGTGACAAAGACAGGTGTGACAAAGACAGGTGTGACAAAGACAGGTGGACAAAGACAGGTGTGACAAAGACGTGTGACAAAGACAGGTGTGACAAAGACAGGCCTGACAAAGACATGTGACAAAGACAGATGTGACAAAGACAGGTGTGATTTAGACAGGTGTGACAAAGACAGGTGTAATGGAGAGAGTGTGATATAGACAGGTGTGACAAAGACAGATGTGACAAAGACAGGTGTGACAAAGACAGGTGTGACAAAGATAGGCGTGATGTAGACAGGTGTGACAAAGACAGGTGTTACATAGAGAGTGTGACAAAGACAGGTGTAACAAAGACAGGTGTGACAAAGACACCTTGGTGATGTCACACTCTTGAGGTCAGCATCATCAGATCCACACTATCGCAAAGAAGGAAATACACCAACATGTCACCTCTAGCACATATACATGTATACATTACACAAATGGAATCACCTCCTTACATGACGTTAGCCAGTTATAGGTTACGCAACCCAATATTTGTGATTTATCATAATTACAAATTTACAGGAATATTAAGATGACAAATGTGTTAAGTAATCAATGATATTTTCCACTCAACTTACAGGACATGGAACGTCCGGAGCTGTGATAACTTAATTGAGCTCTTGGAGACGTGGATGCCAGTGCTTCCTGGTTGGGTGATGGAGAACATCCTCGACCAGCTTGTGTTGCCACGGTTACTACAGGAAGTGGAGAACTGGAACCCGTTGACAGACACAATGCCAATTCATGCATGGTTGCACCCTTGGTTGCCACTCATGGGTGAGAAATTGGAGCCACTGTATGCCCCGATTCGACACAAACTTGCAAACGCTCTCATTAACTGGCACCCATCCGATTCGTCAGCGAAGGTCATCCTGCAGCCGTGGATGAAAGTATTCAAGCCGGGCCACACTGAAGCTTTCCTCGTCAAAAATATCCTTCCCAAACTCGCCATGTGTATGACGGAGTTCACTATTAATCCACATCAGCAGGTCTTGGGTAAGTCTTTATTCATGATTTTCTTTTGTTTAAAAAGGTGAGGTTTGTTTTGAATATTTTGGTATTGGGAAATGTCATTACTACAGAAATTAATTTGATTTATTGAGGCAAGAAATCAATTAATTTACAAAGACATCAATATCTGTTGTTATTTTGATTTAAATTATTTTTGTCAACTTTGGTCTAGAGGGTCTTGAAAAAACTATCATGTTTCAGCATCAAGCAGCAACATTTTCATTGTTTAAAATGCTTTATTATTAATTTTCATGTGAACACATTATCTTAAATTTTCTATTGTGGTAGTAACACAAAGAATTTCATAATGGAATTCTTAAGATATTTAAAGTAAAATCTAGGCTCTTTTCACTGAAAATACTTTCCAAAAATGATTGCATAAATAATATTATGTTTTCACAAGAAATATACAACTACAAGCCAAAGTTGTTTTTCCTTGAATAGTATTAATTTTATGGTGTGTTATTATTACAGTATAATATAAATTTTATCAGATCTATTCAGGCAATAAGTCACAATAAAAATACATTCATGGAAATGAACCTAATATAACATAGCATGATTTCTTAAATAACATGCAATTTTATGTAAGACATATTTCCGTGGAAGGGTCATAGAAATCCAAAGTCTTATTTCCAGAAATGTCCCTTAAAATTAACAAATATCTAACGCAAAATTAATTCATTTAAGGATCCTTGTACCACGTGCACTGCCTGAGACTGTAACTACATTCATGTACATATATATTGGAAACTTTTTTTAAACATGACTATAGCTTTGATCAATCATTGCTAAAAAAAACATACCATGCTAAGTTTTTATGAAAAAGATAATAAAAACAAAAAAACAACAAAAAAAACAAAAAATCTAAAAAATACAAACAAAATATCACACAAGAAAAATCACAATAAATCAACGACTGTGTTCAGAGTGTAGAAAAACCAAACAGGACCAGATCAGCATTCCTATCCTTGACCTCTATCCATTATGCTTGACCACTTACCAACTGAGCTTCAATTGTAGGAAAAAACTACAGTGGAATTTTCTAGCGTTTTACTTGCAGGACAGGGATCCTTAAAAGTTCACAGCCTTTAAAAACTTCAGCTTTTGAAAATTTGAATGCATCCATTATATATATGCCCTGTATTATATTTCAGACGCCTGGCATTGGGTTGTTGCTTGGCGAGACCTCATTCCGCCCAAACACATGGTGACCATGTTAGACAAGACGTTCTTCCCCAAGTGGCTGCAGGTGTTGTGTAGCTGGCTTGGTAACATGCCCAACTACGAGGAGATCACCAAGTGGTATATTGGCTGGAAGTCGCTGTTTCCCGACCAATACATGTCCATTCCTGTCGTCAAGGGTGCGTGCAGTTATTTTTATCTTTATATATACACCCCATTATATTGACCAATGACCTGTCAAATAAAGTACAACTTCATGTTTTCTGAGATATTAATTTCCTTTTGCTTCATTGAGCTCATAAGGGCTCGTTTCCATCAGTGTAGCTGAGATATTTATATCCTATGCTTCATAGAGCTTGTAAGAGCTTGTTTCCATGAATGTAGCTGAGATATCTATATCCTGTGCTTTATAGGGTCGTTAATTAGTGCTTGTTTACATCAATGTAGATGAGATATATTTTATCTGTGCTTTATAGAGCTCATCAGGGCTCATTTCCTTCAAAGTAGCTTAAATATATATTTCTGTGTTTCATAGAGCTCACAGCGGCTCATTTCCATGAATGTTAAGCTTAGATTTTTATATCCTGTGCTTTATACAGCTCGTTAGGGCTTGTTTCCATTAATAGAAGTTTTAGCTGGCCTAGTAGTATCTGAAAAATGGGGGACTTACTGGATTAGTAGTCATACAGCCATTTTGGTGACAGCTTTGCCAGTTAAAGTTTTGTGAAAGTGTTAAAAGTTGTTTATAAGGTGTTTTGTATTGTACTAGGATGTCGTTTGTTTTGACATGGAGGTTCCCTAGAGGTCTCAGATTGGTTCATTACAGTCAAAACAGAACAGGAACAATGAAATCAAGTTTTGACATTTTTGGGACTTTACCAATTTTATTCAAATCTGTAGATAAAGGTTGAAGTGAAACCGTTGAACGATGCTGATATTTGGCAGAGTTGTTCCTTAGAGGTCAAACATTAATGCAGGGAAGGCAAAATAGGAATTTTTTTTTACATTTTTTTTTTTACATTTTTTGGACTTACCCATTTTTCAAATATCAAAAAGCATGGCTTCAGAAATACAATTAAATATCAATAGAGTTTTCTCAAAAAAAAAAGTTTACAAGACTGTTGGTAATAGAGATATTTGTGTGTAAAAAGCACATATTCCAAACTGTGCAATGTATTCCAATCAATATCCTCTGTTGACAGATCACTTCAACAAGGCCCTGGACATAATGAACCGGGCAGTCTCTGGTCACTTCCAGCCCGGAGCCAAAGAGAACATGGCCTACTTTGCTCACACAGAGAGGAGACATATGGCAGACACATCTGTTCCTCCCCCACCTTTACCCCCTGGTCCCCCTGGTCCCCCTGGTCCCCCAGCCCCTCCCATGCCACAAGATGTAAGTATTATTACCCCTCTCCTCAGAATCTTTAACCCTGTCCCTTTCTCATAATTCAAATGTAAATAGCTATACAACCCCTTCCCCCACCACTCGGGTAAAACCCATACCACATCGTGGAAATATCATATCCTGCTGCTCCCTATACTTCAACATCCAAGTATATCCTACCTCGCCCACCTACACCTCCCCTATACCACAACATCTGAATACCTACGTTATAGCTATAGAAAGGTGTGTTGCAAATTCACAATGCATCTTAAGCGTCCACTTGTAAATTGTTGCCAAAACATGGAATTAAATCGGTGTGCTTGTATAATTAAATTTTACAGAAATCTACTCCTGGCCATGATGTATTTACATTTTGCCTGACAACCCCCCTAAAAGCAAGAATAGTTTATCCTTATCCCAGGGCCTTTCCATAGGAATGAGCTTTAATTTACTTAGACTTTAGGCTAAACAACCATGACTGTAGGCTGTCCAATCCTACAGAGTTCAAGATAAAGACATCAGTAAAGTCGTTATTGTGAACGGTTATTTAGACAGAAATGATCAAGCAATCATTAAAATACCCCTGAAGACACATTTGAACTCTTCCAATTCAAAGGTTGGAATAGTTGATTATAAATTTCAGGGGTGAATGAGTTAAACTGACACATTTAGTTGGGTTCAATTAAAAGAAAGTTTGATGAAATGTAAAATGTCAGCTTCTTTTAAATTACCAGTATTTACTTTTTGAATAAGCTAAGTATAAGTATGATCTGTAATTGATATAATTTTATTTCAGTATCCAGCTGTCAGAAGTTCCACAGCTAGTACTTCCTACCCAGCCAGCTTTAAGGAGTTGGTGGAGAAAAAGGTAACCGTCTTACTGAAACAGTTGATTAAGATTCTTTGTTTGACAAAAACATTGAAAAAAATGAAAACATACCTTTATTAAACTGTCATTTTAATATGAAGTGTATTCCAGCCAAACAATAAGCAATTTCACTTGCATGAGAAATATAGCTCACAGAAATTAGGAATTGAAGCATAAGAAATGAATTGGAAGACAGTCTGCTGATATCCCGATGTAGCAACAATATATTTTTGTGTCATGAAGATTATTTTTTTGGCTCGCTCACTGCTAGTGCAAACTAAAGTGAAATATCCCTAAGTACATAATAAACATGTTATTCATCCTTTTCTTGTTTCCTCCAAACAGGCAGAAGAAAACAACATTCTTTTCATGCCAGTGCCAGGTCGTACCCAGGAGGCGAAGCAAGTGTATCGCTATGGCAAGCTTCTGATGTATATGGACAGAAGTGTTATATTTATACAGGAAAACAACCAATGGGTCCCTGTATCCCTACAAACCCTTATAGACAAGGCAATGTAGCACTGGATAATAAACAGTGGACTCCCTACAGACTTTCAATAAACACTGGACTCCCTACAGACCCTCACAGACAAGGCAATGTAGCACTGGATAATAAACAGTGGACTCCCTACAGACCCTCACAGACAAGGCAATGTAGCACTGGATAATAAACACTGGACTCCCTACAGACCTTCAATAAACAGTGGACTCCCTACAGACCCTCACAGACAAGGCAATGTAGCACTGGATAATAAATAGTGGACTCCCTACAGACCCTCACAGACAAGGCAATGTAGCACTGGATAATAAACAGTGGACTCCCTACAGACCCTCACAGACAAGGCAATGTAGCACTGGATAATAAACAGTGGACTCCCTACAGACCCTCACAGACAAGGCAATGTAGCACTGGATAATAAACAGTGGACTCCCTACAGACCCTCACAGACAAGGCAATGTAGCACTGGATAATAAACAGTGGACTCCCTACAGACCCTCACAGACAAGGCAATGTAGCACTGGATAATAAACAGTGGACTCCCTACAGACCCTCACAGACAAGGCAATGTAGCACTGGATAATAAACAGTGGACTCCCTACAGACCCTCACAGACAAGGCAATGTACCACTGAAGAATAAACAGTGGACTCCCTACAGACCCTCACAGACAAGGCAATGTAGCACTGGATAATAAACAGTGGACTCCCTACAGACCTTCAATAAACAGTGGACTCCCTACAGACCTTCAATAAACACTGGACTCCCTACAGACCTTCAATAAATAGTGGACTCCCTACAGACCCTCACAGACAAGGCAATGTAGCACTGGATACTAAACAGTGGACTCCCTACAGACCTTACATAAACAGTGGACTCCCTACAGACATTCAATAAACAGTGGACTCCCTATAGACCTTCAATAAACAGTGGACTTCCTACAGACCTTCAATAAACAGTGGACTTCCTACAGACCTTCAATAAACAGTGGATTCCCTACAGACCCTCACAGACAAAGCTATGTAGCACTGGATAATAAACCATGGACTCCCTACAGACCTTCAATAAACAGTGGACTCCCTACAGACCTTCAATAAACAGTGGACTCCCCACAGACCCTCAATGAACAGTGAACTCCCTACAGACCCTCACAGACAAGGCTATGTAGCACTGGATAATAAATAGTGGACTCCCTACAGACCTTCAATAAACAGTGGACTCCCTACAGACCCTCACAGACAAGGCAATGTAGCACTGGATAATAAACAGTGGACTCCCTACAGACCTTCAATAAACAGTGGACTCCCTACAGACCCTCACAGACAAAGCTATGTAGCACTGAAGAATAAACAATGGACTCCCTACAGACCCTCACAGACAAGGCTATGTAGCACTGAAGAATAAACAATGGACTCCCTACAGGCCCTTACAGACAAGGCTATGCAGCACTGTAGAATAAACAATTGACTCCCTACAGACCCTCACAGACAAGGCTATTCCTTTAAAAGTACTGGATCAATTTAACAAACCAGGACAAAAGAATACAGATTAAAATTGATGTTACCCGACTGTTAAATGAACTCTTCACAACTCAGAATTCCAGAAAGTTAAAATGGTAGTTTAAGATAAGTGGGGTCATAACGGAGGTGAACCTTATATATAGGGTCATTAGTGAAAATAAAATCACAACCTGTTTTTATTTATTCTCTTATAGTTTCTTAAATCTTCAAAAAGAATTTCACTGAAAAGTTATCAATGATGGCAAATTTGAAACTAATTAACTGTCATACTGAAAAAGAACCAGACTTGATCCTGATTTCATATTATCAGACTTGATTTCCAATATAGAAAATTGAAGTTGAGTTTAATTCAAAAAATGAAATCAAATCTATTGTCATTTGCGGAGTCTCTATAAACAGGTTTGCAATATGACTAATTTGTTGTACATGTGTTTGACAGGTAGCATTGGGGTCCTATTATATTACCTGTTACAGTTCATGTTTCAATTGTTCTGGAAAATACGAATCCCAGACAAGTAATATAACTCTATATCACCTGTCTAAACCCTGTTATACTAGTAGTGTATGTTTTATGTGTATGAGTATGAAAGGCTGTAAAAGTGTGCAAATGGCAAAATAAAGTACAAATGTAAACAATAACAATGTTGTTTTAGTTTTTAGTTCCTTGCTCAAAAGGAAATAGAGCATATCTGGTGGTACAGTATCCACCCTCCATCAATTTACAATTAAAAGACTACTTATAAAGAACAGCTGAATGAATTTTGACACTTTTTGGACTATCCTTTGGCCATGGGCACTTAACAAAGTACAAATAATGAAGAGTGTTTCCCACCAGAGGACAGATAAACCAGGCCCAGTAGTGGAATGTTATATATTTGAAATACCACCCACTTCCTCTGTATGTGTGAACCAATTTTAACCTGATTTAGTATTAAGAAATCCTAGACCAAGAAAACTCAATGTTGGTATAAACAGTGGTTTGCCCCAAAGGGAAAAGAAAAATTGTTCAAAGGGGTAAATCTTTAAAAGACCACTGACCGTAAATATTCCCTCTGTAGGAGTGCAGAAATTATAATTAAATTTGAGGCCCAATGAGTGTATAGGAACAAAGGAACAAAGTCGGATGTTAAGTAACTGACAATACTAAATTTCTGCAAACTCTCGGCTTACGTTTATTTCATACTTTGAAAGATGCTTTGCACAATTGCTTGATTTCAAAATCCTTGTCGATGATTACTCAAGGTATCCAGTAGTTGACATCCTGTCAAACGTATCAGCACGTGCTGTTATACCGGCCATAGAAAAGTTGCAATGTTTGGAATTCCACAAAAACTTAAAACTGACTATGGATCACCTTTTAATGGAAACGAATTTCGGAAAATCGCGGACGGAATAGGTTTCAAACATCAAATGATAACACCGCTATGGCCTCAAGCCAACGTAGAAGTGGGGCGTTTCATGAGGACTCGAGGAAAGTCATTCGCGCTGCTCATGCAGAAAATCACTTCTAGGAAAAAGAAATGTTCCGTTTTCTTAAGTAATCATTTAATTATTGAGCAACACCTCACGCTGCTACAGGTGTATCGCCATCAGAACTGCTGTTTGGATGAAACGTTAGCGTACAAATACCGAGCATGGAAGTCAAATTGCCACGATGCCACAGTCAGAGAGACCGACACCGAAATAAGACGACAGATGAAGGAATAATCGGACATTACAAAGCATGTGATACCGTTCATGTTAAACAGAACGAACATGACAAGCTGGCAACTCCATTTGATCCGAAACCATACAAAATCAAAGCTTTGAAAGGCTCCATGGTGACAGCAGAAAGAGACAATCATCGAATTACGAGAAAATCATCTTTTATCAAAAGTGTTATAAATAAACAAAACAAACCAGATATCGGGAGGTCCGCACGACAAAAGAAACCACCGAGCCAACGGAAAGACTTTATTCATGGGTATTTGTGAGTTTTGTTGTCAGGGCATTCTCGATATCCAGGGGTTACACTCTGTTTCGCTCTCTTACACCCCTGGAATATGTCGTAGCAATTTTGAAGGCTCGATGTGCGCCACCTTGTTGATGAGACAAGAAGACTAGTTCAATCCTTTGATGTACATCAAAAGAATCACGCGGTCACGTAACGGTAAAAGTTGACAGGCTTTGAAGTCGGGCGTCTCTCCTTTGTAATCTTCAAAGGACAGGTATCAGCCTAGCCCTAAAGTATCGAGGATATTGTCAGGGGTAGAGTTATCTCTTGGACCCTCAAAATAGAACGATAGCTTAAAGAGCATAATGATCCCTTAACTCGCTATTTGATATAGGCACTCATATGTTTATCCAGTATAATTGATAATAGAGGAGGCAGTGATTTGTTAAGGTTACAGTTTAGAACGTTTACAGTGAAGTCAAGTTCCACATGGACGCCACTGTCATAAACCACGAGAGCCTGTGCTGCTCAGTGTAAGGAAACTGGAACTGGACATATCTGTCAGACGGGACCGTCCAGTGGTATCAGCAGTCATTATAACATGACCCCATATAATTTCCGAGGGGAAGATTTAACTGAAATTGGAACGGTGACCAAATTCGTTAAATTTCCAAGACATCAGATGTTGATAAAGACCATCATTTGGAAAGCATAATGGTTGACGTGGACACGATAATTTGTTTAAGTTGGTATGTTTGGATCTTTCCTTGTGTGTAGAGCGGGATCTTGTTGCCCACCATCTTAAGATCATCCATAGTTAGATATGAAAGTTGATCTTTTACCTTTTGGAGTGGTAGTCTTATCAACAGTAAATGCATCATGTGGACGCTTAATAAGAAAGTTTGTGTCTTTTCAAAGTTTTGTCATCGTTTGATCATTTACTACTATCTTTGTAATGAGTAAAAAATAGAACTAGAAAGATTTCTGTTTTCTGGCAGTCATACATATCCCTTTTATCAAGCGATTGGTAGCTCGAAAAGAAATCTGTAAAACAAGCGAATAGGAATAACTAACAAGTATACAACGGGAAATCTACATATAAAAATTGAAAAAGATCTGTCAAGAACTTTTTGAGAAATAGCATTAACTGTCAAAATCGAAGATGGCTCCCTGCCGACCATCTTGTTATTCAAACAGGTTTTTCTAAATGAACGTACTACTCCGACCAAGGCAAGATAACGTACGATATTTAAGAATGATATCGAGTAATTCTTAACAAATGCGCTTACAAACTTGAAAAATTAAAATCCAAGATGGCTGTTTGTCGGACATCTTTGGTGTCTGGTTAGTGTCGAATGTAGCATACACAACTACTTACCAAAGGGAACTCACAAATGAAATGTAGCGAAATAGCGATAACAAATTTGAACTGTCAAAATAAAAGATGGCGGACGTTTTGTTTTCATAGTCAGTATCACTACTGAAGAGCTTCAAAAAGTATTCAAATAGTGACTTTCACCTGTATTTGTCGACACATTTGAAAAAGGTTAAAACATACATAAGCATTAGAAGACTTTCAGACTCATACCAGCTATTATAATATTGTTTACTTCAACTCTCAAAGTGAGAATATATACAAAATGACCAATTATTACAACCATCAGCTAAGGTGATCGTACAAGATCCGTAGACCTCTTCAAAAGAGTAGGTCATATATCGAGAGGCACTGTTCATCGAATGCGGTTTACCGTTTGTCAACCATATCCGAAGTGCATGTTACTTATCCCTTCCCAAGAATACTAGTCGGTTTACAACCGCAACCTGTATATCTTGTACAAGCTGCAACGTCAAGGAATATCAATAGCCGCGAACACACCAGAACCTTGCGTATATAGCTCGTATCACGCATGCCCTGTGTGACACAGTTGTATATGTTTAACCAGTTAACTGGTTCCCATTGAAATATAAAAATCTGAAATACGTTCATTGAACTGACTTGGTTTACAGAAAAAAAATACTTGAAAATATATTCAACTATTGGAACTATGAAAAAACTAAAGACTGATAACAACATTGATAAAAATTGAATTCTAGACAAGCATGATTAATAGAATGAAATAAAGTCAGGATGATTCATGAATAATGAAGATAATTAGATAAGTTATGCTGGCATCAGCTTAATTCATCTTCCTAATGTGCAGCACACCAATTTTACGGGGTTTCAAGGCCATGCCCGTGACTTGCGATCTTATACCATTTCATGGTATGCCAGAGGATCGCATCATAACACATATTTCAACCTCACTCTCTCCAAAAATAGTAACCACAACACACTTAATAGTATTGAGGGTGAAAAGGGTTCTATTATTACTAGAAGTGAAAAAAAGAGAAAAATTGTTGAATTATTTCTTTAAAATCCAATGAAAGAAACGAAACGAAAGAAAATACAAGAAATCAAAAACAAAGTTTTTTTCATCAAAGTATAAAAGAACTGGATTAAATTCACCAAAACATATCGACCATTATATAAGGTATGATGGGTTTCCCACATGTTCTAAATGACTAATGAAAAATCTTAAAAAGGGCACCATGTACTAGTATGCATATATTCAAATTTTCGGGCGGGGGCACACCTGGGAAATTAGGTCTGTTATAGACTGTACTGAGACATGAAAAAACGAACAGAAAAAAACAATGTTAAAGTTACAAATGTCGGAATTGGAAAAAAACAGGATATGTGTATCAGGGATGTATTCCGTGCCTTGCAACAGTACCGTAGACAACCACTGAACATTACGGACGGGGAAATCCTAGAAGCTCCGTAGACGAGAGTAAGCATTGACCGTTCCCGTCAGGATCCTACTTAATTAAGGGGAAATCTACACGTGACATTTGAGAAAGATCTGTCAAGAACTGCTGGAGAAATAGCATTAACTGTCAAAAATCGAATGTGGCTACCAGGCGACCATCTTGTTATTTAAACATGTTTGAAATTGAAACGTACAAACCTAAGGACCAATTAAGGCGTGTTCTATTTGAGTATCAAGTAATTCTTGAAAAATAGCGATAACAAACATGAATTATCAAAA